ATGCGAAAGTGAACATACGCTTCGTGTATAGCCTCCGCAAACTTTCTGTGACTTTCCTGAAAAGCATCCGCATGCCATCAGAAGTGAAGTGGCATAATTCAAGGATGGGAAGAGTGAGCGTTTGGCAGAGATCGTGTGGATTTTGTGACATGTGTTAGCCATAGAGTCTGGCACGCTCTAGTTGGCTTAAACGTGTTCAGAAAAGCGGAAATTAATATATCGGATTACAACGTCACGAATAGACTGCCATATGCACATAATTTTATTGCTAAATTCAATTAGCCCTTCGGGAGCAAAGGAGAATTTCATCAGCTACGTGTTGCACAATGCCTCAATGGAATGGATAACGTCAGGAATTAGTAGCAGTGTGTGCTAAAGCTCATCACACCGAAGGTATACCGATCTTAATGTCGTCGGCGAATAAGGTGTTTTGGCCGTTTTTGTTGTGTATACCAGTATTGTAGATCTACGGGAAAAAGAGCGAATGGCCCAGTGCACTTCTCTGGATGAAACCACTGGTAATAGGGAATGGGGGATAGTGGTGGTCACTCAAAGTGACTATTTGAAAACGATTAGTAATGCAGGAGAAAATCTAATGTAAAAGCGAGTTCTGGACTCAAAGAGACTCTTTAAACAACTGTTTGTGAAGTACATGCTCAGATGTCATTCTAAGTTCAAAAATAAAGCCATGATTGCAAAATCGGAGTCTACGGACTCCGAAGTGTACTTGAGGTGATGTGGCTGACAGATGATCTAGGAACCCATGTCGTGGATACAATGTTAAAATGCGATAAATATGCCCGGAAATAAGGAAATTTCATTAGTTTTCTTGATTAATCTATCAAACAACCTGGCGATCGTGAGAACACAATGAGTGGGTCGATAATTGATGATCTCTATTGGGACCGTTTTCATGATGTAGGATGATGAACGAAGTTTCCACACATCAGGAAAAAATAGCAGGTTTCCAACGATAAAGTGAACATATTCAACAAAAGTAGCGGTAAACTCAGCCCTCATTCTAATGACAGTTGAGGGGATGAAGTCGAAGTCTAACCTGAAAGGCCATATTAAAAATAATAATAATAATACTAGAAAATAGCGAAATGTCATTTAAAGAGTAGAAGAAAAAAGCAAGAGCAGCACTAGATAGAGTGGTTTAGAGAGAGAAACGTGGAGTCGAATACAAATAGCTTCACAAACGTCGTGAGTGCACCATAGGTGGCATGATTTCTAACCAGACGCGAACAATCGTATCCAGCAGCGAAGCAGATGCTGACAGAACTGGGTGATTCGCCGGTTCTCTTGTACTGCTTTTCCATGTCATCAACCGGTTATTGAGACGTAAAGCGCAAATAGAGGTACACTTGTGACAAAATCATAGTGCTATACAATCGGCAGCAGATATGCCAAAGACTTGAATGAACAAGTATGAGTGGGTTGATTTTAAAGCGTCTTTCGATGCAACAAGAAGCAATCGGTTGTCAACTATTTATATGAGCAACACATAATGGACGCCGCTGGTAAAACACGACTGGTATCTTGGTGTCTCCATTACGCGAACGTCATGCCTTTGATACCTATAGCGGTACGTCCGTGCTGCCACAACGTTTGGCCGGTAACCTGGTGTCACGAAGTCCAGAGAAGTGGCCTGGGAATTGGAATACAATATGGGTAATTATGATCGATTCAATAACATCTTCCATGCTGTACTTGGTGGATCAAACGATGAGTAATAGTGGGGGCTCGATGATGGTGAAACTTGCAGATCTCAGTCAAAACTTGCAATAGAACTTTGTGTTTTGGACATGCCGCGCACATGAAGAGGAGCATAGAAGCTGAAGCTGAGTGCAACACGACAACGCCATCCACATTGTAACCGGTAACGAGACTTGAATCTAGATAACTACATCTGATATCTATGTCACCTGTTAAACTCTGGTCTATTAATTATTTTTCTTAACACTGTGTCCTTTTATTCGATGCGCCCATGGTTTCATTAAGACCTCCTTTGTTGCAATTGTTCGCTCTCATACTTGCCCCGAGATACAGTGTTCCCTACGACCTTGAATTCGGCCAATAGTCCAAAGGTAGCGAGCTTGACTTGTAAGCTGACGGCGCGGGTTCAAGCCTGTGTAGGGATAAAGCGACTCTCGTAGTATCCTTAGCCCAAGTGTGATCGGTGATGGTTGTGCGGTAGCGAAGCGTCGGTACTGCGTACTGGTGTACTGCTGGTGCCGTTCTGTTCTTTCTTAAGAATCCAACGCACTGTATCCCTCTATGCGCTGTATAGCGAACAAGTAGGTAGGGTTGCGCTCTCTGACATTAGCTTTTGTGATCTTGCTGTGCAGTGGCAAGTGCAGTGATCTGCATTTCTTGTGTGCTTTATAAGGACCCGGTTGCTCCAGCACTGGACGGGTATTGTTGAGGTATGTCCCGATTGAATTTTGATATGGATTTAAATAGTACCGTACCTGAGATTTGGGTCTCAACTTGGTTTGGCTCGGGAGTTTTACGAGTTGCTCCAGCCCCATGCGAATCTGACGCTTTAAAACAATGAATTTCTGAGAAGTACCATTACTCCAAAAGAAAAATGAGGAGCAAAACTGATTCACTCATGATCAGTCCGACCATAAAATCATAGGGAACTGGAGAGAAAGAATGTTCCTGACGAATCCCGAATAGTGTGGTGAACTTACGGGACGGCTTCTCGTACAGGGTTATCAAGTAGGTGACAAAAAGTAAGAATGTGATCAGTGCAAGCCCAGCCGAATGGTAACCAATTGGTAGCGGCCAAGTGGATGAAGTGTCAAGGAAAATTCACGAATTACCCCAATATGGTGGCAAATGGGAAACTGCAACAATAAAGCGGAGACAAAACTAGTGAAGGTACAAGTAATCCTGGAACAGAAGTTTACTGGGAAACGAAATAGGGATTCGACTGCGCATCATTATTAACGTCGGTACAGCAGGAATGTGAACAGATGTCTCGCGCTATAAAATCAGGATAACATTAGGAATGAGAAGTAATGCGAGAATAGAAAAAGGGACTCAGGCTCCCGAAGCGACTTTGTTTTGTTAACAACACACGATCACAAACAGACGGCCACCGTGCAAAGTTGAGGTAGAAATGGCGAGACAGATTTATGAGTCCTACAATGTCAAGCGCCACAATCAACCTAACCCTACAGATAATTCAGCTCAGAGGTACATCAGGCAAACATTACGGTAAACATGCCATTAAAGTAGACTACAGGGGGTGACAGAACTCCCATCAGGGAGACGACAAGTTTAGTCGTCAGCGACTTTATATCCGTTGCGAAGTAAATAATTATCTACTCCACACCGATGTAACTCATCGCGGTGGACAGACTGTCTCCAGAATACATCAGTTTTGCCCTGCTAGTAACGCTTATGAAGGATTTGAAAGTTCATCAGGTTCTCAGACTGAACCTGTTGTACCTATACATGGCAGCATAACTGCTCACGATATGGACCGTCTCCCTTAATTACACACCGTATGGGGCAAACTGCGTAAACAGTTGTAAGGCATATTTGCTTAGGTGTATATATATATATATATATATATATATATATATATATACTTGCGAATATATACATGCATGCGGGCGCGGGGGTCTGTCGCTATGCGAAGTCACAGTGACAAGCAAATCCGGAAGCAGGTGCTGCGAACATATGAGTTTACCACGAACTAATGTTTACTTTAGGTGTTGGAAGCAACTGGTAGTGGATCGAGGTCATTGGCGTGGTCTTATCAGGAATGCTGTTTTCCAGGTGCATCAGGAAGAAAAACGCCGGTTGTACAAGCAAGACACCGATGGGGCCCCGCCCATCGACGTCAAGTACCTGATGCTGTAGTAACATTCGATCGTGTGTACCTCAGTTGAGTCAGTCAAGCAAATAGCCACGAGGGAGCAAATCGAACAAGTGACGGGTAAGTTGGATGGACGCCAGTACATGGTATGCCCAATGTTTCCGGTGTCATTTACCAACCCAGACCAATAATGCGGAAGATGTGGCGTATGTGCTACATCGTCGCTACACCTGATCACCACACGTACCTGAGAGGTTTTGTTGCATGGTTGACGGCGTTTGTTCTTTGATATCTTAGGTCTGACTGCAATTAGGTTGGATGTTGACAAGGTGCCTATCTGTCGAAGACCGCCACCTCCATTGCTCACTCCAGTAAATAGTTAACTTTTGCTGGGGAGACGGATGCACAGTTTTCGTGGCGGTGATAGGCCCAACGAGTGGTTCCATCCAGTGTGGAACGGGATACGGACTAGCTACCGCCATGCGTGAGCATAGTATGCATGTTCCCTATATTTGTCGGAGTAGTGTGCGCCGGTTCGGATGAAACATGGATCCCATCCACATGCCTTCTAATCTTGTTCCTTCGGGTTTACACTGGCTATGGGGAGTGAATGGAGCTGTGGGCGGTGCGGCGCCAGCCATTCATGGTCCTTCAGTAAGCGTAGGCGTGTTGTGGCTATTCGCAGTCGCACTGATAAGTACATTCAGAAACGGATGCCGCCGCCCATTCATATAGATAGTATGCTCAACTGCCAGGTCTCCATATCACAGTATTCTTTAACGTATATTAATATAACGACGTGAAGCAAAGGATAAAAATGCGCCTTACAATTATACCCAGTCCAGTATATCGAAATCCACTGAAACAAAACCACAGAGTGCTATAAGGTCTCTTAGGGCGGCGAATTATGAGTCCGCTCCAAGATGTTGAATAACAGCGAGTACAAATTCGATTGCGGATTGGCATTCATTCACTTTGGGAATCCACATGACGCACTTTGCAAGACTAAGCTGCAAACTGCGATGCATTTCCAGAGTGGTTTACGGCAGTTCACCACGTTCAGAATACCGCCACTGAGAGAATGAGGTTGTGCTGAAGGCAAAGAGGAGAGATAACAGTGAAAGACACATGGGAATGAGGGCGTACAGTGAAAATGCGCACTAACTTGGTGGACGACAGAGTCGATCAGAGATTTTAGCTCCTCAATAGATAGGTTATTCAACTTGCTTATGTCCAAATCCAGTTTTTCACCAAGTTCTTCCAGCACGAGTCTTTGTTTTTCAAGTGTTGCTTGGGTGGGTGGCTCCTGCTGTTCACCAATCTGATGTGATTAATGGAGCAGAAGGAAAATGGTATGACAACCGGCAAAAAACTTGGGTAGGAAAGTAATAATTATCCTGGCAGCAAATGGGTTGTTGGGTTCAAGTATGACCCTTGTATAAATTATAAATAATTATGTCTGTGACAACTGAGGCGTGGATTACCTATTGAAGATGGTAGTGCGTGCACAACAAAGTATTCGCCGGTGATTTGAGCATAAGATGCCAGAGCGGTAATTCAATCGGGATGAGAAGTAAACGCAGCGAGGCAGGGAGGCTTGTGTGTCAATTCAGTGTGATCTGAATCTGGTTGGTGAATAGCAGTGATGATGATAAAATATCAACGGTGTAAGTCCGAATTATGGGAACAGCAACATTGACAGCAATGTGACTGGAATGAGAAGAGCAGAATTCGTGGTGCAGTACGAGAAGCAATGGGGATGGAGAAGAGGAAAATTAATCCGAAAATCAGTCCCGACATGATTCTTGAAATACGTAAACCGAACTGTTGTCAGTTTGAGAAAACAAATGGTTGCAGATCCTATCAAACATAGGGTCGCCGCGGAGTCGGTGGTGCTCCCGCATTCGGTTCCATGAAGCTAGCTGCTAATATTCCATCCCGCTTAATTTTAACCACGTTTTAACCCATCCCTTTTTATTTGCATTTTATATGCATTATACTTCATTTCTTATCACTGCTAACTATCGGGGCTTGCTACACAGCCGAGTTCCAAACTAGAACGACAAAACAGCCGTGTCTGCAGATTTCTTGAGAAATTTCTACTACACAGTTCTAGGTGCAATCATGCCCAAGGGTGACTCTTTGAAGCAAGCAACGATACTCGGTACCGCTTACTTACTGCAGACTCGGTATACAGTATTTCTACGAGAGACCACAAAACACGGGGTTACCCGGGTTCTGTGAACAGTATCGTATAGCTGACTATTACCATCTTCAATAACCTCAGTTTATACTAGTCAATCAGCTAAGAGAGCATCTATAATCAATATTGTACACTTTCACAACTTAAAGTGCAAAAACGAAGCCACATGGTTATCCACATCTAAATGCCACCCCAGTTCATCAAGTAGACCAGATAATTAATCCTGTCGGCCGTCGAAATTGTGTGCTGACAGGAAGAAAACGGGACTACCTTCAGCCGAAGGGCACTGCGTGTAGGAGGGCAGTATGGACTGTTCAGTACAATACCTCAGTTTTCGGTTTCAGAACTCCATGAAACGCGAACATGTTGAATACCTTTGGCGCAGGGTCATCAGCCCGATGTCATTTGACGAAGCTTGTTTAAGTATATATTTGAGACAGGACATATTTGGCTCAGAACAATGACCCGTGACCAGCGCCGCACGTAATGCATGACGACCATGGTAAACTTGGAAATTTGGTGAACTTATCACCATAATTTGCTAAATTTCATAGGAGGCAAATGAAGTGTTGTGAGGTAACTAGCACTATCAAATAATGGATAGGCTTCGCTAGATTTTTTGGTTGTCGTTAACTGTTTTAGCGGTTATCAAAGTGAAAAACTGAATGTTTCGCTTTAGGAGTAAACATGTATCATGGGTTAAAATGGGTGAAATCTGAGACAGCAATGATATCCTGTAAATAACTAAGAGTGTCGGTGATTCCGAAGTAAACTAGATGTTCGACCGCTTACGATCAACAGCTGTACCAAAAAACGTTCGCTTGCATGGCAGCAGGAGGGAAGAACTTTTGTCTTTCAGACCTCAAGAAACACCCGAGACAATCGCCGCGGAAAACACGTGTGACTCAGAACGGAAGCAGTCACCAAATGACTATCCTTTATGCTAAGGGAGCATGGACATGGATCAAACGGTTCATTCCCACTTATCGCGGATAACTGCCGATACGACATCACTTTTGTCATGAAGAGCAGATTTTATACTGCAATCGTCCGTGCAACTCTCCTGTACGGTTGCCAAACTGTCCGGGAGAAAGTAAGAATGGCTTAGAAAATCCACTATTTTAGCGATTAATCGATTATTAACGATTATCGCATCGATTTCGAACGTTCTGGAATGTTCTAGTTTCTGCACGTGACTAAAAACCACCTGACACCTCAGCAAAAGCTATGGGGAACCATTAACCTTGGTAGCTGACCTTCCAATTCTAGAAGTCGAAGGTCAGTAAGAGACCTATAAATACAGCCAAGGTCCGCGGTAGTTGTACAGTGTTAGTTGACGGCGATTAATAGGTTATTTTATCAAGGTCATTAGCGTTCTGCTTTTTCCTTCGGTTGGGTTAGAAGTTTTGTGGAGCAACAAAGTGCCAATTTCTGAATCGCGTCTAGTGAGAGGATTATAACAGAAACCTAGGTAATCAAGTCGACAGACATAAAGAGTAACGTTTGATCATCGCTATCTTCGCAGCATATGTCTAGTGGAAGCATCGCGTAAGCAATGAACGCGCTAGGCGTAGTGCACTCGGTGCAGGAAGAGAGTGAACCACTCAGGACCGTTTTTCAGGCACTAGGATCGGATGGTTGAGTCACGTGTTGCGCATGGCTGCACCCCGACTCCCGCTTCATTGGTTGTTTGCACGAATGAATGTGGATGGAAGGAGGGGAGGCCAACCGATAGCTTGCTCAAGGTGCATGAAGACCTTAACTCCGAACTTGGCATTGGTCGGTGACTCCCGGCTATCAGGCTTAGGTTCGAAGGACGAGGAAGATGTCTGGTTGGATACGCAAGTTGACAGTTGAGTTGAGTCTCTTTGCTTCTCCCCATCCTGCCTATCCTCGCCCTCCCATCACGATCTCAGCCTTGAAGTATAATGTAGCACCAAGTAGCTTTTTATCTGTTTTTCGCACACTATACATTTTATTATTTCGTTTGTTCGTCTATTTTATATTTTTGCACTGCGGCACAATAGTTGAAATATGTTTTCCGCCTTCATCTAATGTGTACTGATGCTAGTGACCGTGATTAACTCCTAAACATGGACGGATGAAATGCTTGTAAGAAAATGTTTTGTTCTCAAGACACCTCACCCGCACTGACCGCATCAAGGCGTGAAGTTTCAGCTCGGACCCCTGCTGTCGAGATCAAGTGTCTGTTTCAAGTTACTGCATACAGGACAGCATGGGCAGTTGATGAATGGATAGCCGTTAGCATGTGACTTATGCCATTTGTACAGATCCAATGATCGACAAAAGCGTTCTAGGCGGCGATACAACACTGGCCTAAAAGTAGAAGAACAGTAAAAATAGCCCAGGAGCATAGAGCGGTCGATGGGTAAATCGCGTGGCCGGGCGGGTGTGGTGGGTGTGATAATTGTGTTTGGCCGAAATGTAAATGTGCAACAGACGTACCTCGTATGCGAAACACTCCAATTCATCTAGCTGTTTCCTCAGCTCTTCAATCAGCTGTTGAGGCTTGGGTTGCAGGTTGCATAAGTAGTCGCTGAGTGTGGTCGACTGCTGTAATAGGAATGAGGAAAATGAAGAGGAACGGCGGTAAAACCGGCTCGAAACCAAAGGAAGGAAAAAAGTAGGACAAGTGCAGTCAAAGTGTGGGCGAAGACAATTGGACCATGTTACAAATTCGGTGGCTGGGTGTGCCAGCGAAAACAAGGAAAGTTGAGGAAAAATAAGACGAGGATATCTGTGGGGACCGTGCGTTTGAACTAACTGCCAACAGAGTGAAGACTGGTCTTCTAGCAGCTCACAACTACCGAACAGAAGCGAAAGAAAATTGCAATAAACGGAATAAGATGGTTTGGAGCGATCATCAAGCTTCGCTTCAAAAGCCCGAATGTAGTCGGCTGCGTTATTTATGTAGTAAAGGAAAGAAGCGTTACTAACTACGAGACCGGTGGTCCAATGGTGCAGCCATGTGTCTTAAAATCTACAAATTGCCGGTTTGAGACTGCGTGAATGTGGTTACTTCGTAGTATCCCAAACCCCTACCCGACTGTTGATGGTCACGAGGCAGAAATATGTTGATATCAGGGCACTGCTAACACTTCGTTTCTATATTTTCCTTGAATAGAAGAGTAGCAAGTGGGAGAGAAGAGATTATCTAGACATCGTACAGGAAGATGGTGTGGCGACATTTACCCGTACACAAGTGTTACTTGTTTAACATGAATAAAGATCTTTTTGGTGTCACCTAGATGACATCTATCTGCTGTATGGTGAGTCATTGGAGTAAAACTAACCACTTCATAGCAACCACGTAGGAAAACCAGAGCCCAGAGAAGTTTTGTGGCGGTAGGATAACAAGCATCAGTAGCGCATCAGTACTCTGGTACCGACGCGTTGTTTTCACGCCGCAAATGATCGTCCTTTTCGGGGGTATTTCTTTCTTTGAGTTTCTCGTAGCGATGCTTAGCCGGTGTGGAGCGGTACAACAAGGTGCCACAGAATCACTTAAATCGACCAAAAAAACTTGGTGGGTTGGACATCAATCTTGGAAGGATCAGTTTGGTTACCTAGCTAAATGTGATAAGAGCAACGAAGTATGAATGACCCGAATGATCTACGTAATGGGAATTAAAAAGGATGAATAAAATGAAGACGTGTAAAGTACCAAAAGGAGTGTAAGAAAATAGTTTTATTTGTCAGAGAAAAAGGTTAAATAATTAAGAGAAGAAGCCGGATATTTCTCGACCTCGCTATATTGGAGAAGAAATCCGACCGCTGATGAGGCAGATCTCGAGGGTAGCGTCCATAAACAAAGTTTGACAGGAACAGATGTGATCTTGGTTGCCAGATGATGACGACCTCTTTAGCGGATGGGGAAAGAAGTGTTCCATGATTGGTGCGTTAAGATAACCTGGAGATCTGGCAGTTCGAAAACCTACCATCCTCAACCGAGATTACGGATTATGCAAGAAGCAAATCACGAGTTAGCTAATGCATCGTCCATAGGATGGTGTCAGCAGTACGCTGGTACACTGCGCAGACGCATCGTTGCCACGCGACCACCAACAGTCGCGTGCATGCTAGCGATCGGATGAGGTCGGCCGTACCTGCATAGGCATGAACCGGTGACCTGTGGATTACAAATCCTAATCACATAACTATCGCCCGGCTAGTGCTTCGTGTGCAGTAACTTCCTCGAGAATGGATCAGAGCGTCCGATCCAACGAGGAGATTAAATGTTTCACGAGACTTATATCGATTATCAATAAAAAGGACGGACGTCTCTTCATTCGCAGAAAACAGCGGTAATACAACTCAGTGGGCACAAACCTGACAGAACGTAGACAGCAGATAAACAAAATAACAAAGCGACACGAAACTGAGGAATGCAGTAAAATGATAAATTAGATGCTACCGATATGTATAGAGGACATAATAGTAAAACAATAATAATCGTAATATATATATATATATGTACAAGAGGCTTGAGAGCTTATGGTGTGCTGAGGCTGGTGGTTGCTAGATGCTGACAGACGATCTATCCACTGCTGTTACTGTTGCGCCATTGGCTCATGTCTCGGGCGCCTCCTCGTGGCGACCGCTGGGTGGGAGTTGGGTTTCGCCCTTCTCCCTGCTAAGATCCAGGACACCAATCCGCATGAGTCAGTGAACTGACCATGTGCTAGACCCGCTGCCTTTGGCTGAGGACTTGAGTCGTTCCCCTGTCAGAAGTGGGCGCCAGGCCAGTATCCTAGTCCATCCTCTTCGGAGGTTAGGAAGTGGTCGATGGCCCTCTTCCGTAAAACCTAGCCATGGGAGACAACAGGTATACGGGTTATAAGCTCACAGCTCGATTGGTGTAGAGCACGAGCGCCACGCATTGTCTCTGACGGAGGGAGGGCATCTCCGGGTGTTCAATAGTTTGCTACTGCCCGTCTTAAGCAAGGCAGCCACTGGTCAAATTGGTGCAAACCCGCCAAAATCCACCTGCGTCTGGCCGTGGTCGCAGGCGCGTATCCTACTACGGTCGCAAAACATATAAATCGTTCCAGTACCTCAAAGACTGTGTGACAGTCATCAAGCAGATCCCAATCTCTCTCCGCAACCACATTCCCGAGCTACACCTGCTCCCATTGCATTGTGGGTCAGGCTATTGAGCCAAAGGCTCCAGGAGGAGTCCCTCAAGCAAACCTCCAAACCACCCACTGCCTTGTGGGTCAGGATATTGAGCCAAAGGCTCCGAGCGAGTCCCTCAAGCATACCTCTGAAGCACAACGACCACCTCACGCGCGATTGCCCATCAATACAATCGTATGCCTGCGCGCAAAGCACTCAGCATCGGGTGCTGGAACGTGCGCACACTACTGGACCGGAACTCCAGCGAGCGCACGGAGCGACGAACTACACTCGTCGCGATGCAAGTGGCGTGCTACAACATCGATATTGCGGCGCTCAGTGAAACCCGGTTCGCTGAGCAAGGCAAGTTGCATGAAGCAGGTGCTGGCTACACATTCTACTGAGTGGGCAACGCCGCCTCAGCACCACGTGATCATGGGGTCGGATTTGCAATATCCGATCGCCTTACTGATCAGCTGATGGATGAGTCCACTGGTACCAGCGCGACTGATGACTGTTCGCGTACGACTCGGAAGAAGTAAGTTTGCAACTTTTATAAGCACGTACGGTCCGACCATGTGTTATCCTGATAACACGCGTGATCAATTCTACACTCAGCTATCCTCTGTGATACGGTCTGTGTCGAGGAGCGACAGACTATTTCTGCTGGGTGGTTTCAACGCGCGCGTTGGACATGATGCATCAGTATGGACAGATGTTATCGGTCCGCATGGCATTGGTTCAGCGAATGCGAACGGTCACAGGCTGCTCTCACTGTGTGCCACTCAAGGCCTGACGATCACGAACACACGGTTTGCACTGAGTGCGAGTGATATAGCAAACTAGACGCACCCACGGAGTTGTCACGCTCACCTGCTCGACTATGTCATCGTACGTCTGCGTGATATGCGTGAAGTGCGCATGACAAGTGTACTGCGTGGAGCTGAGTGTGGCACAGATCACAAATTCGTGCGAACCAAACTGTACATATATTTTCGTAAACCTATATATTGCACTCATATCGTGAATCGGCATAAATTTAACATTCTCTCCCTCGGTATTGAAGCAAAACGTACTGAGCTGGAGAAGGCGATGGCTGCACACCTGTGCAAGGTGGACTGCATAGCCACAGTGGGTAACCTGTGGCACCACATTCGCGACCAGGTGACAGCTGCTGCCGAGGAGACCATTGGGCGCGCAGACTGTAAGCGGCCTGATTGGTTTGATGACAACAATGCGACCATTGGCGCATTGGTGTCGCAGAAGAATGCAGCATTTGCAGCACATGTGGCAGACCCGCAGTGACTTCGGGAAGAAGAGTCAGTTTCGCAAACTTCGACGGCGAGTGACCCGAGAGCTCCGTCGCATAAAAAATGCATGGTGGACGGAGAAGACAAAGTAGATGGAATACTACGTCGAACGACGCCAACACAAGGAACTCTTTCACTCTTTGAAAGCGGTGTATGGACCGAGATTGGAGCCGCTGAGGACGCTGATCGACGGTAGCTCAGGCGCTACCTACACTCAGACTGCGGACATAATGCAGATCTGGCGAAAACACTTTGACTGTCTCTTGAACAACCGTTCAGAGATCGACTGGCCTACAATGAACGGCCTCAAGCAGCATGATGTGAACACGAGTCTGGCGGACATGCCGACACTGAATGAGACGCAGAGAGCGCTTGCTCAGCTGCGAAACGGCAAATGTGCCGGGGCCGACGGCCTGAAGTATTGAAACACGACGGACCCGCGTTGTCGACTGCGCTGCACCACTTGGTGCAACGGGTATGGGTTGAAGAGGAGGTGCCTCCTGAACCGAAGGATGCCCTTGTGCTGCCACTGTACAAGGGCAAAGGAAGCAAGCAATGTTGCACGAATTTTCGTGGCATCAACTTGCTGAGTTGTGTAGGCAACGTGATTGCCCGAATCCTGCTCAATCGCCTCGTCAGTCTGGTTGCGAAACCGGACGTGGCGGAAGATCAATGTGGATTCCGCTCGGGTCGTAGCACTATAGATATGGTGTTTGCGGCTCGTTGGTTGCAGGAGAAGTGCAGAAAACGATACCAGCTATTGTGCTCGCTTTTTGTTGATTTCACCAAGGCATTTGATACGGTGAACCGCGAGGCATTGTGACTGGTGTTGGGTAAGTTTGGTTGCCCACTGGTAAATTTAATTGAATGCCTGCACAGTGGTATGCGGGCGAGGGTGCAGCTGAGTGGAGAGACCTCGGATGACTTTGCAGTTATCTCTGGTGTGAAGCAAGGCTGTGTCTTAGCTCCTGCCCTGTTTAATGTCTATATTCATGCCATGATGTTCTGTGCTTTTGATGCCGCTTGTGCTTACGGTGTTTATGTAGAGCACCGTATTGATGCTGGGTCGTTTCGGTGGGAGAACTCTAGTCTGTGAGACAACTATCCGTATGTTGCTGTTTGCTGACG